CAGTCACAGAACCCAAGCCTGTGTTGTCTCTCTCCACCTATGGAGAGATGTGCCTTTGTCAGCTCTGACAAATTCTCATGTGTATCTCTGCCTAGTGTCTGTCTTTCATTTCTCGTTAGCTCATCTCCCAGTTCCTTGCTTTCCTTTCAAGTACACACTAAATAAATGTTGTATACTGAAAGGTAGAAAAGCAAAGAGAGGAAAACATCCTTAAAAGGGAAGTAGGATCAAGGACAGTGTACTTACACTAAATGATTACTGAATGAATGTAGCTGTGAGTTGTGCCAGACACTTAGTTAACTGCTCAGAAAAGTCAGGTTTTTGTTATAACCAAAAATGGAGGACTGGGTTTGTGGCTCAGCGGTAGAGTGCTTGCCTAGCTTGTGTTCGTTCTTCAGCACCACATAAAAATAAATAAATAAAGGTGTTTGTGTCCAATGACAACTAAAAAAAAAATAAATATTAAAAAAAAGTGGAGTGAGTTCTTAAAGAAAAGGTAATAGTAATGATGAGATTGTTTACAATAGGATTGAATCAGAGAAGCAGAAAAGGGTAATTGATGGGGAGAAGTGTAACTGAAACTATGTAAGAATAATTTGGGAGAGAAGACAGGGTAGGATTATCAGAAATGGGGAAAGAAGGGTTTTGGGTGATGGGTTTCAGACCTGTGTTGGTGATGGGATGGGGTAAGGCAGGAAGGTAGCATCAGACTACAAATCCAGGCAGTAGCTTTGTCCTCCTATCCCACCTCCATTCCTAACCCCACTCCTGGTATAGATCTCTGCAATGCTATTCTCTATTTTTAGGTTTAGTGAGGTAGTATTATTTTTTAAATGGCTTTCAAAATTTCCACAACAATCCTTTGCAGTCTTAAACATGCGTTTCTTAGATAGTATGCATACTCCTTGGTTAAATATGTGGGTTCTGAAGTCAGATGGGTTTGGTCTGAAATCCTAGCTATGTTACCTTCGGACAATTTACTTGACCTCTGATTACATCCATTTCTTCATCTGTCAGATAGGGATAATAATAGTTACTAAGCTTATAAGATTATTTTGAAACTTAGAGGTATTAATATCCATGTGGGGATTTTGACAGTATTTGGCTAAACCAAAAGCTGCTAGCTGTGCCCCGCCCCCCATCTCCTGGCAAGATCCTGCCTTATAGCTTTGTCTTCTGCTATTCCTTTCATGAACCCCACATTCCAGTTTCACAAAGCCATTTCCAATTATTCATGCAACAGAATTTATGAAGTTCCTGTAAAGTAATCAGCCCTTCCTATGGGACTGTGAATAAAGTGACAGACAATGCAAATGAACTCACAGTATACCAATGGGACATGAAATAGACATTGAATGCTTTGAGAGCTTATGTTGGAGAAAGAGGATCCAAGAATGTCAAAGAAGTTTTCCCTGAGCAAGTAAGGTTTGAGTTGGGACTGAGCAATAGAGTATATTGTTCCCCACACGTACTTGTACTTTCCCTTTCCAGGCCTTGGATTACTGTTTCTTCCCCAGTGGAATATTTTTCTACCTATTGAGATGCAACATGCCTTTCAGGCTCGGCTAAAATGTCTGCTCCTTTATAAAGTCTTCCCTGAGCCTCCTGATTCAAAGTTTCTCCTTTATACTCCAAAAACACTTGGTTTTCATTTTTCTTTGACACTTCTTTTTTTTTTGTTTGTTTATTTAGTTGTAGATGAACATAATACCTTTATTTTATTTATTTATTTTAATGTGGTACTGAGGATCGAACCTAGTGCCTCATATGGGCAAGGCAAGCCCTCTGCTACTGAGCTACACTCCCAGCCCTCTTTGACATTTCTTTCTACCATATATATATTTTTTTGTTATTATTATACACAACTTATCTTTTTCTACTAAATCTTAAACTCTGTTTAACAGTAGACTCTTGTTTCTCATTCACTTTAGCAAATTCCTTAGATCTAAAAGTCCTGGAACAAATATTTGCAGCATAAATTAAGGCCTGCTAGACATCCCTTTTCAATTATGTTGTAATTCAAATGAAGCTATTGTTGGTGAGCTGTGCCTTTGCAATTGAACTTATTCTTTGGTTAAACCAGAATGCCATAGTCATAGTACCCAAGACTGATTATTGTTCACTACAATGACTGCAAAAACTCTAACAAACAGGCCACTGTTCTTTGACAGGCATTTGGCAACAACTGTCAGTTCTCCAGTGCAGGCTGAAATGAACTGAGGAAGAGCTGTCTGAATGGAGAGCCCCTCAGCCCTGTGGGGCTCTGTTTATTTCTTGCAGTTGGGCTGCTAGAGCCAGTGACCCAGGCTTTGGCCTCATGTGAGACATGCCTTCAGGGGATGGATGGCATTGAGGCTATGGGGTTTTCCAGGGTGACAGAAACATTAATGCTTAGAACAAAATCATCCAGACCAGTTAACAGTGGAAAGCATTGAAATTTGAGGCTGTGTGATAACAACAGAAAGAGAACTTTGAAGTTACGCAGATTCAGGTTTGGTCATAACTAGTTACATGATTTCACCCATGTGCCTTTTTTGAACCTCTCATTTTTCTTTAAAGAATATTCTGCAAATATTTTAAAATAATGAAGATAATATATGTATACTATTAAAATTTGTTTATTCATATTATCTTACCTAATTTATTTTGTTCTGAGAGCAGGGACTTATTTTTTTCTCTCTGCAAATCTAGCAAGCACCCAGCACATAGCAGACATGAGTAAAAAATTTTAAACAAATTAACAACACCAATAATAGTTAACATTTATGGAGCAATACTTCATGCTAGAAATTGTTTTCATTTAATCCTCCAACAATCCTAGAAAGAAGCTACCATTATAACCCAATTTTACAGAGGAAAAAAAGTGAACATATTTTTAATTTTTTAAAACTAATGTATTTATTAAATTTTTTTAAATGCTGAGGATACAACAAAGGTGCTCTAGCACTGAACTGCATCCCCAACTCTATTGAACATATTTTTAAAACTGTACAGTTTTTATTTCTTGTCTGGTAGGATATTCCAATTATGAACTCCCTATAAAGGTGACAGTTGAAGCCATGGAGCCGAACTGGTCACCACAATTAATAATGAAAAGGAAAAAAAAAAAAGAACAGAACAATCAATCAGAAGGTCAGTGAGGATAGTGCAGTTTCATAGTAAGCAAGAAAGAATTTTTTGAGTTGAAGATGAACTTTATGATTCAGTCTCGATTAGTGAATGTGAATATGTTTAGGAGCTGGTTAGAATGATTTGGGATCTTTATCCAGTTGTGGTACAAAAACTAACTTCAGTTGCTAGTGATGATTCTAGTGCTGTTACTGTTTTAGACAAAAGTTGAAAGTTTTAAAGGCCTAGACAATATGGATTTCTGTTTTGGTTCAGTTTTGAGTGTTCCAGAACAGTTCTTTTGGGAAGGGGGTTTGTGTGTAGGTACATGCCTATTTAATCTGAGTGGCTGTCTGGCCAGTCTTAAGTTTCTGTATATCTTCCATTTTTGTTGTTTTTGTATATTTTCCATCCCCACCACATCCCCACTTCTGTTTTCTCAAGTAGTCTATCCTGACTCAAGATTTTTTTGGCTTGCTTCTCTACTTCATCTTCTAGAAGGCCACTGTAGTGACTTTTTTCTTCTATATAACCAAGAAGGCTGTAGCCAGCAGATGGCACTGAAGCAGAGAGGGGCAGAATTCCTTTAGTTCCAGACAAACATTGTGGATCTTTAACCTTATAATTTCAGCTCTAGTATGGTACTTCTGACTGGATCCTAATAAAGTGGGCCGAGTTGTGCACAATTAAAAATTTTGATTTGTATAGTAGAATCTGTAATTTTGTCTCTTTACCCTACTTCCATCATTAGATGATGATGTCTTTCATCATGTTGTCAAAGTGTCTTCAGAGGAAAGCTGTCCAAATGTCCCCAATTTATGGTTACAGTGGCTGAGGTGTATTTCTAAATACAGGAAATAATTGAGACTCTCCTAATAGTTTAAGAAAAAGAAAATCCATTCACAAACATTAATCTGAATGTTTCCAACATGGCAGACCTTTAAGATCTGAAATATGTTATTTTTTGCTACAAAGTTCCTTAGTTCATTCCGGAGAATCAGATGCAACTCGACTAGATTTGCATCAGGAATCAGAAAGAGCCAGGCAATAAGGGCAGTTCCAGAGGCAGAGGGGCTGCTTCCCCAGCTCCTCCCCGAAAACCAAAGGCTTTACATATCTATTACTAAACCAGCTTACTAGTGCAGAGCATAGAAACAGAGAAAAATCATATTCCCAATCAAACATGTCCAACACCCAGATACTGGGGATATTTTCATTCAGCTTTTATGGTAAAATGTTAGTTACCTTGCTATAGCATACATTTCATGTGTGATTTTTATTGACCCACTTGGTTCTCCTCCAATGTCTTCTCTTGACGTTTACCTGATTTTATTACAAGTTCTCATCTTCTTTGGGGGAATTGGACGATTTGGTTTTGTTTCTTAGTTAGAAAGCTCTTGATCCTGAAAGTCTTGTGAGGAGACAGGCAGCGAACAGAGTCAACCTCATAAACCTAGATGGTGGAGAAAAGGAGAGAAAACGGAACTGTTTCTTAAGCACTGGTGTTGGAGCTCTCTTAAGTGGAAGAACCAGAGGACTGAAACCTTTCTGTTGCAGGTGGGATGCAACATAAAGGCTGCTTTACAAATACACGAAGAGCAGCCGCCAAGGCACATAACCCCCAGCATTTACTTTCTCAAACATATCACCGCAGTCCAGCCAAGTTTGGTCCCAACACTAACTCCCCAGTCAGCCTGAAGCGGCTCAGTTACCATGACCACAAAGGAAACCTCGCGGCCCCCCACCCCACACGTGCTCTCCTTAACCCACGTGAGCGCGCAAGCGCGCAAACACCACCTATGCAGATCCTCTAACTCGACGATTGGCTAGCAAGTCCTGATTGCGTTCGGCGCTCACCTCTCGGTCCTTGCGCTTGCGTATTACGGCTTCTGCCTGTCGCCTCGGCCCGGATCGGGAAGTGACAAGCGGGAGTCGGGTTTCCCCGCCTTCGCCGCTACCACCGCTGAACCCGGACCCCTTACCCAGGCCCGAGCCTAGCCGCCATGACTAACGGTGAGGGTCGGTGCCCCGAGCGGAGGGTGGTAGTAAAGGACGCGGGGAAACTGGCGGGCGGGGCCGGGACTGACGTGGCCGTTCTCCCCGCCCCCTCCCAGCCCTTCCCCTCTCCGCTTCTCGAAGCCCTTAACTCCTTTCTCGTGTACTTCTCTGCAGGTTCCTTCTTCCGGTGCTCATCTAGGTCTCTCAGTCCCTCTCCTGTCCACATCTCGAGCCTCAGGTCTCTACTACCCCTCTTTTCCTTTCCAAGAAGTTCGTTTTGGCCCGGAGGAGGGCAGTCTCCAGAAAACTAGTGTTCTTTAACCCCAGGGAGGAGAGAATACTCCTTCCCAGCCCCCTACTTTCTCGTACTTTGGAACTGTAGGCTGGTTAAGAGGATCAAGAAATCACCGAGGATATCAAACCTCACACTTTGGCGAGTCGGGGGAGGTGAACGTAGACCCTCCCCAAAGTTCTTTTAAAAAATGCCGGAAAGCCTTCTCTTGTTTAATTCTAAAGTCCTAACTGGGTCATCACATCTGGAAACTCTGGCTAGTGTTGCAAAGGATAGATTTAGACACTACCTTTTCTAAATGATATAGTAGTTGTCACCCTGATCTAATTTTCCCGGTTTCTTCAAACACTTTATAGACATGATTTCTGAAATCCAGGGAAAGGCAGGGAGCAGGCCTTCTATGGTCTTTACAATCAGCCTTTCAGAAAAGGAAAAGAAAACGTCTTTTAGGCAGTATAACTTGAAGGGCACAGGAAAGCATTTCTCAAAAGTACCTTGTCCATAGGTGTGGCATTGAAGACTATTATTTCACCTCCTTGTGAAATTTTGGCAGCGTCGCAAATATTTATGGGAGGAAAAGTAGCTCATGAAGGTATCATTCTTCCTAAAAACTGTGTGTGTATAATTTGCTGGACCTAGCTATGAGAGTGTTTTACTGGAGGAGGAGAGACACATAGTGTGGTCCAAAACTGGCAGACATTAGCTATACACAATATCAGTTTGGAGCTTCCCGGATAGTCAGAGGTCTCAGGACATTACCCAGAGGAAGAAATAATCCGAACCTGGAAATAAGAGAGCATTCTGGCACATAGTAGTTGCTGAATAATTTGTGTGTGTGTCTGTGTCCCACTTGTGCAGTCCAGTATTATTATTACTTGCAATAAGGTAATTCATTGTGCTCACCAGTACAATTTGAATTTACATATATAAAATACAGAACTGAGAGCTTAAAGTTTTTTGCTATGTCAAATGATCAGCTTTTTAAAATACAAGAATGTGTTGTTATTCTGGCAGAAATTTGGTTTGTAAGTAGAGTATCATGCATGAAGTGTAAGCTAATTATAAGAAAATGGTATTCACATGAATTCTAACTCTGAAAATTTCCATGAAGCTTTATTCTTTGCCTCAACATTATATTCTTCACTAACAGATGTAGATCTGACAGACTTGGCTAACCATCGAGTTCTCCTTTATTACATGAGTGGTTTAAAACAAGAACATGTTTAATTCTCTGTGTTCAGGCTCCAAGGATTCTTATTCCTCTCTCAGCCCATTGCCAACACTGGAAGGCTGATTCCACATAAATCTATACACCCTACTCAGGATTCTAGTTTGGGAAAGGTGAGGGGAGGAGGCAGTGAAACTGTTGTAAAGGGGATGTCTACAAGCAATTTTGGTGAGCAGTAAGGTAACATTGTAAGTCTCAGGACCTTGGCTCCCTCTTGTCAAGTGTTGGCACTGCCATTTGATACTGTTATCTTGATATTATATAACACTCTGTCCTCCTTAGCTGAGACTCACACTTAGCCCTTTCTCAGCTGGTATTACCTGTTTCAAGTTGGATCAGCGCTGAAAGTTTCTTTTTTTTTGTTTATTACAGTGTACTCCTTGGATGGGATTCTGGTGTTTGGTTTGCTCTTTGTTTGCACCTGTGCCTACTTCAAGAAAGTACCTCGTCTCAAAACCTGGCTGCTATCAGAGAAGAAGGGAGTTTGGGGTGTGTTTTACAAAGGTAAGGTCATGTCTGGACAAAGGAGGAGATGGCCATCTCTGGACAGTGTGGTGTTACGAATGGGGTGTTATGAGTTGAGATTATATTTGATTCCACTTTTAGAAAAAAATCTTGAGATGAAGTCTGAGTAAATTTAGAAAACATTCTTATTTCACTAATGGAGTCTATGAACTGAGATGGAGTCTGGTAAAATTAAGTAATCATTTTACAAAGTTGAAAAAAGAGGTAGCCCAGAACAGTGATGCACACCTGTAATCCCAGCAATTTAGGAGGCAGAGGCAGAGGCAGGAGGATCTCAAGTTCAAGGGCAGCCTCAGCAAGTTAGCAAGGCCCTAAGCAACTCGTGAGACCCTGCCTCAAAAGAAAAAAAAAGGTGGGTGGGGCTGGGGATGTAGCTCAGTGGTTTAGTGCTCCTGGATTCAATCCCCAGTACCAAAAGCAAAGAAAAAAAGAGATGAATTGTGAATTTGCTATTATTTAGACGATAAGTGTTTATTTTAGCATCCAGGAAAGTTCAGTATTCTCTGTGGAGTAAAAGTGTACAAATTAAGCTATTTTTGACTGGGCTGGAGGGGAGGAATATTTTACCACTGAAACCTTTCCTGATTTTCTGGAAACAATACAGTGTAAGTTTTGATTTAACTAATGAAGATGTATTTTTACTTTTTATTTTGGGTATCTTCAATTGGAATCCTACCTACCTAAATCTTTTTTCAAAATAAGGTAAAAAATAGAAATAATATATTCATCGAGAACCTAGAGCATAAATGTAGCATTTAAAAACATTCCCAGGTTCTTGAAATTCTTAATAGATCTCTTTGTTTGTAACTAGAAATTTTAGAATGTCACCTGGAATGTTAGGATTTTTGTGAAGGGCTGGGAGTGATTTCTTCTTTCTATTTTTGCCTGCTAGCTGCTGTGATTGGAACCAGGCTGCATGCTGCTGTGGCAATCGCTTGCATCGTAATGGCCTTTTATGTCTTGTTTGTAAAATGAATTACAAAATACCCAACTCATCAACTGCCAACCAAGGGGACAGGGGTGAAGAACCTGTTGGAGGCCTGGACCCAGTGTAGGAGAGTTCAGCCAAAAACATCAATGTCCCCAAGATGACATCACAGCATCTGCCCCTGCCATATGTGAGGAAAACTACTTGTGGTCACGGATGTTATTTATGCTTTAGGGGACTCCAGAAAGCCAACTTCCTTTGATCTGTGTGTAAATTGGCTCTCAGCAGTGAACATATAATGTCCAGTTTAATTACACCCATCAATGATAAGATTACATACCTCCTGCTTTTTAAAAACCTGTCACCTGGGCTAGGGTTGAGCTCAGTGGTACAATATTTGCTTAGCATGTGTGAGGCCCTGGATTCAATTCTCAGCACTGCAAAAAAACAAAAATAACACCAACATGTCACCTGTTTTGTTCTTCAACCCCGCATCAGGATCTTTTCAAACTGAGGCTTATAGGGAAGGACATAGGCTGTGTTCAGACCTCTTGAAAGGAGAGATAATTTTCAAGACTTGACTTTTTTTCACTGTTTAATATGGTTTTGGCAAATTGGGGAGGGAGGGTACCAGGTGGGAAAAAGGAGTTATGAAAGGCCAGGAAATTGCTTGGTTTTAGAAAATTGTCTTTTATCTACTTATCTGGGAACATGAGAGAGAGGCATGGCTCTCATTGCAAAAAGAGAATAGATGAAGTAGCTTGGTGTGTGCTGAGAGCTTGAGTTTTGCCAAGAGAATCTGAGCTCATATAAAAATCCAGAAATTAACCATCTGTGATGAGACTAAAGAGCAGTGATTAAGACAAGAAAACACTTCCTGTTCACCTGTATTCCCCAAAAGAAGACTTTACTCAATCAAATGGTATATGAAAAATGAATCAGCTGTTGCTATTTCCTAAGGCTTTTTTATATTTTCTAACTTAGTGCTAAATACTGTTACTCAGTTTTAAATGCTACCACTAGGGGAAAAAGAAACTGTTGAAGAAATAATTGTTTAATATATTTGCAGTTAGAGGAGAAGATATAAATTAGCATATTAATTCATATACTAGTGAATTCATCTAGTATAAGAATTTATTGTGATATTATATGGAAGTGTTCTCATGTTATAAAAGATTTATACTTAAGTCTTTGTGTTATGGCAGTTTTTAGTTGACTACCTGTTTTCTTGGCCAACTGCATTTTCTTTATATCACAGTCTTTTTCATTGTTTCTGGAAATTATTTACTGGGGAAACATGAGAAATTCAAACGAGAAGTTGCTGATATTCGTTGGCATGTTTGGACAGTTCATAGACTCCATTAGTGAAATAAGAATGTTTTCTAAAGTAAAGGAGAATAGAACTTTACAATTCAGAGAAAAGAGCTTTTTCATTGACTATGGCAATTCCTGAGCAAATCTTTTCAGATGACAACATTTTCAGGAAAGACTTTTCTGCTCCCTCCTCATATATGCAGAATCAGCTGTTGGATTTGTGAAGCTAAGAACTTCTGTATATGAAAAAAAGTCTAAAACTAAATTATAGTAAGCAAGCATAGATAAAGATCTTCCAGTTGAATTGTCCATTACAGCAAAACTTGACTGTGGACAAAGTTAGCTGTGGATATCTCCTGTATGGCAATAAATTAATTTGTCTTTTGTCTGTTTTCTATAAAAGATTAAAAGCTGCTAGGAAGTTTAGGTTCTACTATATGCAGTTTCATGCTTTGAGGGATCCTACAAGTACAGACATCATCAAGTAAACACTACATGCCTAATCATCTCAGAGTTGTGGCTGTTATCTCTTCAGGGATTGGTCCACAGGGTAAATTTCAGTTATTCATGTTTCCAATTGTCATTTCTGGAATCTTTCATATGAGAAAGGAATAGAAAAGAAAAGTTACATCATATGGTGTGAATTTGGAATCTGTTGGTCATAGGGAATGTCTCCCTGGGAACAGGTTCAGCATGTTTTGCACTTGTTATTTGGTAGCTTTAATGACTTGTTTTCTAATAGGGCTAATGTCTCTAAGTTTGGTGCTTAGAGCTGCTTCATATTTTAAACTAGTTCCATTCCACATTGTAGTTCAACCAATTTTTATAACTGCCTGGGTGGGTCATCTTGGCCTAGACTCTTTGAGTGGTGATATTTTGAGATTTTTCATTCCAGAATGTACCAAAAAGTGTACAAGGTGAAGATAATTTACAGCAAGAAACAAATACACAGCCTATTTCATTTCTTGATTTTATATAAACAGAAAAACAGAAACTTTAACTCATTACTTTGGTTGATATGTCATACATTTTTGGCTAAAAATTATAAAAATTGTTCCTCTGGGGAAGGCTTAGGGGTGGGGGCATGAGGAGAGCAATATTGCCTCAAATTCAACTTGGTATCACCATAAACCCTGTGTACCAGGGTAGAATGAAGTCAGCTCCTTTTTATAGTTGAAATACAGTTTTTTTATTCATCAATATCTGCACAAATCCTTGAAAATAAAATTTCTTTCCCTACAATATTTGTCCATTTTATTTGACACGTGATGAATTTGTTGAACTTTTTTTTTTCAGTACTTCCCTTGCATTCTGGTGATAGCTCACCTATTTAGTTCACATTAGTGAATGTCTTCATTCCTGTTATCCACTTTTGAGGGTCATTGAATGTATGATAGAGTTGAGAATATATGATAGCCTAGCTTTCTCCTTTCAGAGGAGATGAGGTTTCATAAAACTTAGGTATATTGAATAAGGGAGAAAGCACTCACCCAATACATTTAACCTGCCTCTGCTACTAAAATGTAAGTATTATCTCCCATAATCAATGAAGTAATTTATTCAAATGAAGTTTTTCAGGTAAACCAGCCAGGCACCTAAAAAAATCTTTCAGCCAACAGAATCTTGTCTCATACAACAGATATTCCCCTACTCCCTATTTGTTTATTCCAAGTGCCTGGCACATATACAGATTATGACTTCAGAAATTATTTCTATTAATCTCTAAAATTCTTTTGCTTTATCTTCTCCCTACACTCTAATTTCATTGAAAAAGAAGGGAAGAGGAACTGAGATGTTGAAAGTTGTGATCTCTACTGTGAGAGGTGCCAGTTCTACTTACATAATCACTATTCATTTTTTCTTTTTGGTGGTATTGGGCTGCTGCTATTTTTCACTATACTTGTGGACTTTGAAAGTTAGACATGTTTTAATGGATGTGAATGTAAATAACTGCCACACCATCAAGTTCTGAGCAGCCAGAGGGCTCTGTGAGGCAAGGGATATGCCTTCCTATCTTTACCCATTTCACAGATACCCTGACCACCTAGTTTTTGGATTTAAATATTCCTCGGGGGCTGGGGATGTGGCTCAAGCAGTAGCACGCTCACCTGGCATGCGGGGTGTGTGTGTGGGGGGGCGCTGGGTTCGATCCTCAACACCACATAAAAATAAAGATATTATGTTCACCTAAAACTAAAAAATAAATATTAAAAAAAAAATATTCCTGGGGCTGGGAGTGAGTGTGGCTCAGTGGTAGAACATGCCTAGCATGGGTGATGACCTGGTTTTGGTCCCCATTACTCAAAATATGTATCAAGAAAAACAAATCTAGGGCTGTGGTTGTGGCCCAGTACTGGGTTCGATTCTTAGAACCACATAAAAATAAGTAAAATAAAGATATTGTGTCCATCAACCACTAAAAATATTTTTTAAATGAAAACTCGATTCCTCACCTTTTCTGTGGTGAAAGATGCTTGCCTTCTCCCTTAGAAGAACTCTTGGAGCAGCTGATGCTCTTCTTGGTGGTGACCATCGGTCACTCTGTCCGTGCAAAGTGAACCATTCACCTAAAAATCTGACATTGAATCATCTTATACTCAATATTTTAAAATTTAAGACAAAAATAAAGTCGAGATAAAAGAAAACTATAGATGTGCATATGAAGGTTTATATGAATTAATATAAAGCTCAAAAGACAACCACCATTCAGTATTAATTCAGTCTCCTCTCCCTAAGGCCTCCAAGCCACACGAGGGCAGCAGGACGCGTCCTGGACAAGATTGTGCTAGGGAGTCACCAGCCTATGGTGGGTGGCTTCTCCCAGAATCCTCCGCGCCGGCGGCGCCGGAGGGTTTAAAAGAGGGTGCGGACTTCCGCTACCTCACGGGAGGGAGAGCGGCCTGGGCTGAGGCGACTGCGTGTTGTGTTGTGTGGAACGTGCGTGTGGGCCCAGTGAGCGAATGGACGCTCGAGTGTGTGTGCGTGGAGCGTGCAAGGCGAGTGCGTGTACCCCACCTGCGCCCCTCCCCCCGCCTACACCTTGATCTTATTTGATCGGGTCGTGACCCCAGCCCCGCCGGGCCGCCCCGAAATGAAAAGCTCTCCTCCTGCGAAGCCCCCTCCTCCGGGCGCTGTGCAGTGAGGCCCTTTGGGCGGCGGCAGCGCCGCGGTCCCTGAGGTCCCGGAGCTGGTCCAATGGGCCCGGTGCTCAGAAGTGATGAATTGATCAGATAGACGAGGCCGGGCCTGTCCCGGGCCAGTGATTATCGAGGCGATTCTGATCTGAGCCCAGGCCACAGTCACCGGCCACCGAGCTTCAGGACGTTGGGGCAAGCACGTTACCGATCTGTGGCTGGGGCCGCTGACGTGCGGAGGCGGAGAGTGAATGGGCCGAGAGCGGTTTCCCTGTCTCGGGCTGGAAGGTGACCGAGGCCTTCCCTTTTTTCCTTTTAGGATAGGCTTCTCTCTCCCTCCCACCCTCTCCCTTTTCCTTTTTTTTTTTTTAATATCTTTATTTCATTTTTATGTGATGCTGAGAATTGAACCCAGTGCCTCACGCATACTAGGTGAGCCACAAACCCAGTCCCCCCAATAGGCTTCTTTTTTGACTGTGGTACCCACGCTGGTGCCCCCAGAGCTAAAGGCACCCTACAGTCTCTGCCGCTAAGGTACACATTAAACTTACAGGAATACACATTCCAGGGATTTGCCCAGAATTTAACGAATTAGAATAGAAATCTAGGAATTTTTCTTAAAGCATTTAAAACTTTTTTTTTTTTTTTCCCACCAGGGATTGAACTCCGGAACACTCAACCACTGAGCCCATCCCAGCCCTATTTTATATTTTATTTAGAGACAGGGTCTCACTGAGTTACTCAGCTCCTCGTTGTTACCGAGGTTGGCTGTGAACTCCTGCTTCAGTCTCCTGAGCTGCTGAGATTACCACTGCGCCCTGCAATTTTTAAAAATTTACACAGAAAAATTGTACATATTTATGAAGTACCATGTAATGTTTCAGTGCATGCATACATTATATAATATACACTTTAGGTAAATATTTCTGTCTGAAAAAAGTATCTTTATGATGAAGACATTCAACATTTGTGTTTCTTCTCTCTGGCATTGAATCCAGACTTAACCACCGAGCTACATCCCCCCCCCGCTTTTTTTTTTTTTTTTAAGACAGTCTAAATTGCTTAATGTCTAGCTAAGTTTCTGAGACTGGCCTTGGGATCCCCAACTGTACTCACCAGCATAAAGAAACCACATTTTATTCCTACTATGAAAGCAACTTTTTTTTTTTTTTTTTTTTTTTTAGTATGAACGAGATGGTGTGTATTTGCCTTTCTGTGCCTGGCTTATTTCACTGAATGCCTTCCAATTCCATCTGTGATGTTGCAAGTGACAGGATTTCACTCTTTATGGCTGTACAGTATTCCATATTTGTATATCACATTTTCTTTATCCATTCATCCATTAGTGGACATCAGTTGTTGGAATTTCTTGCCCTTATGAATAATGCAGCAACAAACATGGGAGCGAAGATGTTTCTTTAACATACTGGTTTTATTTCCTTTGGATGTATACCTATTAGTGGGATTGCTGAATCATATGGTAGTTCTATTTTTAATTTTTTGAGTACCTCCCTTACTGTTTTCCATAATGGCCATACTAATTTACATTATACCATCAGTGTTCCCTTTTCTCCACATCCTCACCAGCACTTGTTATCTTAGTCTTTTTGATAATTGCCATTTTAACTGGAGTGAGATGATATTTCATTGTGGTTTTAATTTGCATTTATCTGATGATTTTGAACTTATTAATACCTGTTGGATTGTCTTTTGATAATTATCTATTTAAGTATATTGTGCATTTTTTATTTTTTGTTTTTTGAGTTCCTTACATATTCTGGATATGAATGTCTCTATAGCTTGCAAATATTTTCTCCCATTCTGTAGGTTGTTTTCCTTCACTATGTTGGTTGTTTCTTCTCTGCAGAAGCTTTTCAGTTTGACATAATCCCATTTGTTTGTCTTTTTGCTTTGTTTCCTGTGTTTTGGGGGGTCTTATCTAAAAAATCCTTGTCCAAACTGGCTGCAGTGGCACATGCCTGTAATCCCAGTGACTTGGAGACTGAGGCAGCAGGATCAGAAGTTCAAGGATAGCCTCAGCAACTTAGACCCTGTCTCAGGAAGGACTGAGATGTAGCTCTGTAGTACAGCATCCTGGGTTCAATCATCAGTACCCGCTCCCGCAAAATAATCCTTGTTTATTCCAATATCCTGAAGTAGTTCCCCAGTTTTCTTCAAGTAATTTCATGTCTTCCATTTAAATCTTTAATCCATCTTGAGTTGATGTGTGTTTGTGTTGAAAGGGATCCAATTTCTTTCTCTGTGTGTATATCCAATTTTCTAACACCACTTGAGACTGTCCTTTCCCTAAAGCATTTTCTTAGCATCTTTGTCAAAGGTCAGTTGGTTGTAGTGTGTGAGTTTACTTCTAGGTTCTCTGTTCTGTTCCATTGGTTTTTTTTTTTTTTTTTTAATGCCAATACCATTGCTGGTTACTGCAGCTTCACAGTGTATTTTAAAGTCAGGTAGTGAAATGTCTCCCACTTTGTTCTTTTTGCTCAATGTTGCTTTGGCTGGCTGGTTGGGTTTTTTGTTTGCTGGGAGCCATTAGCCAAGTAGGTATGACAATTTCCTTGCCAGCGTACCCCATGTTGCTGACATGTTGCAGCGACATTGAATGTAGGTGACCTTGCTCAAGGACCAAGGCAGATTAGGGTGTTCCCGGTTTAAGATAATCGTGTTTAGGGCGTTCCCAGTTTAGGTTCCAGGTTTAAGGTTTAAGATTATTCCTCCTGGGAATAGGGCGTATCCTGCTGCCTGAGTTCCCCTTGAGTTCTCACGGGATTCAGACAGTATATTTTGGAGATAGAAGCCCAGTGGAGTTGGATTTGGGCAGAGAACGTGGATTTCCCCAGAACGTGATTGTAGACGGCTGGTGTGAGTTCGGGAATAAAGAGTTGCTGTTTGAATCTACAAGCTGTGTGGTGGCTCGTGATTTTGTGCCCAGCCAGACTGTGGCATTTGTGCCCAGCCAGACTGCGGCATTTGTTGTTGTTGTTGGTGGTGGTGATGGTAGGTTTTATTTGTTATTCTATAAAAAATTTAGGATTTTTTTAGTTCCATGAAGGATGTCAGTGTTATTTTGGTAAGGGTTGCAATGAATTTGTAGATTGCATTGGGCAGTATGAACATTTTAACAATATTGATTCTTCCAATTCAAGAACCCAGGATGTCAATCATTTTTTTTTTTAGTTCTTATTAGAGATTTTTTTCACCTCATGGGTTAAAATTTATCCCTTGGTTTTAGTTTTGTTTTTGTGGTACTGGGGATTGAACCAAGGGCCTCAGGTGTGCCAAACAAGCCCTCTATCATTAAACCACATCCCCAGCCCCTTGTTTTTTAGTTACTGTAAATGGAATTGCTTTCTTGATTTTTTTTTGGATTATTCACTATTGGCATGGAAACACCACTGATTTATGTATTTTGATTTTGAATTCTACAACTTTATTAAACTTGTTTATTAATTCTAGTAGTTCTTTGGTGGAGTATTTGGGGTTTTCTACACATAGCATTGTGTTGTGTTCATACAATGACACTTATTATATATGGACTTTATTATGCTGAGGTATTTTCCTTCCACACCTGGTCAGAGGTTTTATCAGGAAGGGATGTTGAATTTTGTCACATGCTTTTTCTGTATTTATTGAGATGATCACATGATTTTTATCCTTCATTCTGTTGACATAGTGTATCATGTTTATTGATTTATATGTAGTGAATAAACTTTTTAATGTGCTATTGGATTCTATTTGCTAGTATTTTTTAAATATTTATTTCTTAGTTGTATACAATACCTTTATTTTGTTTATTTATTTTTATGTGGTGCTGAGGATCGAACCCAGGGCCTCGAATGTGCTAGACGAGCACTCGAATGTGCTAGACGAACGCTGAGCTACAACTCCAGCCCCCAGCCACAAACCCAGCCCCTATTTGCTAGTATTTTGTTGAAGATTTTTACATGTATGTTTATCAGGGATATTGGTCTATAGCTTTGTTTGTTGTGTCCTTGTCTGATTTTGTAAAACGAGTTTGGAAGAATTCCTTCCTTTTTAGTTTTTTGGAATAATTTAAGAATAATTTTTAAAAAAAGGATTAGTATTCTTTAAATGCTTGGTAGGGATCTATATTTTATGAATGTATGTATGTATCTATCTATCTATCTATTTATTTATTTATGGTACTGGGGATTGAGCCCAGAGTGCTTAACCACTGAGTCACATCCCTATCCCATTTTAAAATATTGTATTTAGAGACAGTATCTCACTGAGTTGTTGAGGCTGGCTTTGAACTCAGGATCCTCTTGCCTCAGCCTCCCAAGCAGCTGTGCTGGGTGGGATCAATCTATCTATTTTTATAGTCCATAGGCTTTTAATTTATTTTTACATTTATTATGTCAGGAATTCATAGGGAATAGGTTCCAGCAGTACATGCTCCTTTTGTTCTCACAAAATGTGCTTCTCTAGATGGAGCAGGCTGGTGCTGCAGCTGAATCCAGTTACCTTTCTCTTTAGATTCCTTCTTTTTCTGATCATTTTCCTTCACGTTTCAGGAAGCTGTCCCGGCTCTCGGGGTGCTTAATATGCTCAATATGTACATTAATTCTGTTGGCAGGAATCTTGCCCTTAACTTGATTATTCACAACAATGCCAACAGCATGGTGGGTAACATTGTAGACTCTCTCAGTTTTGCCATTATTACTTACATTTGTGGAATATTCCTTTTTAAACAGCACCCATTCCCTTTAATGTCTACAATATCACCCTTCCCGTAGATTTGCATATATGTGGCCAAAGGAACAACTCCATGTTTTCTAAAAGGCCTAGAGAACAAATATATCAGGTTCCTCTCCTCTTTACCTTTGTTTGTCATTTTGGTGAATTACTGGAAGATGGTGGTTCCAGCCAGAAGGCTTTATTTTTATATTTACTTTTTTCCAAAGAAGCCCATTTTATTACTTTCCTTATAGAAGTCCTGTTCTTTTCCATGGTGATTGATGTGCCTTTTCCACAAATTCCAACCTTCCTTCTACCCATACTCCCCATGTCTGTTAAAGTGTATATAGAGATAGCAGATACATTTGTTAAGGGTTTTGCCTGATATCAACATTAGATTTCCAATGATTTCTTCTTTCAGGTACAATGTTGCAATCCATTCATTCTTCTTCCAGTCTTTCCTCCTCCTCCTCCTCCTCCTCCTCCTCCTCCTCCTCCTCCTCCTCCTCTCCCCCCATACAGGGCCTACATTTAGAGTGGTTTTTCAGTTTCCCAGAACCCCAATTTTGTCATATATTCCAACCATGAACCACTTTCCAGAGCAGAAGGGTGAGCCTCATACAGATTAATCCTGGAACACCCAGAGGCCACGGAAATCCAGCCCCACAAGCTCTACCCCCCCCCCCCCCCAAGAGAACTGCCATTGCTCTGAACTCTCAACACACGCCTAGCTCAAGAATGAGGGCTAGGCGTGGCTTTTAAGGAGATGATTTCAAGGACCATTCATTGGCCTCACATGGGTACTAAGCTGGAGGTGGCCATCTTGGCCTTATCAGGGTCTGTATTTTTAAAAGCTTCAACATGGACAATAGTAATAAATTCTGTTTTTGTGCTGAGGATCAAACCCAGTGCCTTACACATGCTAGGCAAACATTCTGTCACTGAGCTACATCTCCAGTGGTAATATAATCTGTTAACTGCACATCAGGTGATTGATTATCCAAGGAGTCACCCCTCTCTACCAACTTTAGCTATTTTAAATAATGAGAACTGAAATTTAATATTGCCATGTGCCAGCAAATACTATCTAAATAGAAGGTCCCAATGGAAAGTTTGGTTTAAGGACTATATCTGAGTACCTGGAAGAAACCCTTTCACAACTGAATTAATGCATACATTGTCAGACAATTAGACAATTAGTGTTATGTTCTTGGTTATCAAGAATACTCATGTAGCTTTGGGATTTTAAATTGGTGAATATTCATGATGTGTGGAAAAGCATGATACACACACTACAATCTTAGTCAAACAACATGGGATATGTGTATGTACATGTACAACCTGGAGGGACAAGTCTAGCTAAGTTGCTTGTGACTGGATGACTTTGTTCTTTGTGTTTTTATTTTTTCTGTAATGCACAATTAGCTTTTAACTTAAAAAAAAAAAAACACCTATTTTTTAAAATGAATATTATGCAATATTTTAAAAGATCCTTGGGCCATTTCTTGTCCAGTCTTTATGAACTCAGAAGGTTCTTGGGAGTGACTTATAATTTTAGAAACCACACTAAAGGATTATTTTTTAGACACCTTCAAACCCAAACACCAGATTTTTTTTTTTTTTTGGTGTGTGGTGCTAGGGACTAAACCCAGGGTCTTGTACATGTGAGCTCTACTAATTGAGCTATATCCCCAGTCAGAGTTTTGAATGATGTTATAAAAGTAAACACAAGTTATATATTATAGCACAAATTGACAAGGAAAGGGAGTTGGCTACCAGGCAAGGAGACAGAAGCAGCGTTAGAGATTGGATAATGGCAAGTAGCCAGAACCAAGGAGATGGAACCTTCCAAGAAAAGTAGAATCTAGCAGATGACTAAACCCAAGAAGTCTGAATGTATAAAGTATGACCTTAGCAGAAATATTAATGCTACTTAGAGCTCTAAAATTACAGTGTTCCATAAGATCCTCAAGAGAGTGGGCTAAGTTTTGTTTCCTCAAAGATTTGCAAGAAATGTTGAGTGGATAGCTCTTAATGGTTAGATTAACTTCAATTTGCAACATGTGAATACCTGTGTCTGGCCAAAAACAATGTTGTTGTAGTCTAAATCTTTATCTCTTCAGCAAGACTAATTCCAAATTGCAAATATACCCAATAGGATTACTTTCTAGGAGTTGGGAAATTTCTGTCCCATGTTTTAAGAGCAGACAAGAGGCACCTCACAGTTGTAAGTAACGGACATTTCATGCTTCATTTTGCACAAATCTATTTAATGGAAATAGATGGCAGGATGTCCACAGTCCACTGACCTGTCAACACTAGGTGGAGAAGAAACCACCATCATTCTTTCGGGAGTAACCGCCATTGGTGGCTGCTGTATGAGGAGACACTGGAGAAAAGAGAAGAGGGATGAGCTTGAATTTTTAATCAGCAGTACATTATGGGAACTATAGATTTTTCACAATAGCTGGAAAACTGGCATATGAAGGACTGATGGGAGGTATAGTTCTACTCCCAGGTGTCTTCCCTGCTGAAAATGTTTATTGCTTAAACCTAAGGCTCACCTGAGAGGCTCACCTGAGAGTCTCTGAAAAATTGAATAAATTTCCTAGCTCTACAGTCAACATGTCCCCTGGTATTAGTGTGATATTTACCAATTTAATCACTGCTTTCCAAGACCCTCAGTAATCCCTGATCTTCCCTGCCAGCCATTAGCCTCAAATCTGATTCTTGGGTCCATTCAGGAAGACTTGCACTATCTCATCTGCCCACTCAATTTTCTAACCCTCACCTATGGATCCCTGGACGCTGTGGATACATTCCTTCTTAGGATTAATCCAGTGTCTGATGGTCCAGGAAGTGATGGGGGGTGGAGCAGGAAGGGGTAAACATTCCCCAGACAGGCACTTGGTTCTAGAAGATGGTGTGGGGCAAACAAAGGAGAGTAATCAGAGAAAGATGAGGAGAGAAAGATAATTGCCAAGACCTCAAAAGTAAAGTAGACAGGGCTGGGGCTGTAGCTCAGTGGTAGAGCACTTGCCTAGCATGTGTGAGGCACTGGGTTCGATCCTTAGCACCACATAAAAATAAATAAAATAAAGGTATTCTGTCCGTCTTCAACTACAAAAAATAATTTTTTTAAAGTAGACAAAGCGTCTTTTTTCCCTTTGGAATTAATGAAAAGTTTTGCTCATTTATACAGATGAGTACAATCTTGGATGGTTTCTGTTCATTTTAGACAATTAAAATACAGAAAGTACAGATAGATGTAAAAACAGAGAACTTTGTGCACAAATTGGTAGCTATCAGTGACATTTCACGTTGTATAACTGGATGGCAATCTACCAAAGAGGGTTTCTACCACTTACTTGTGGGTGTCCTGGATAGTCTCCTGGTGTAACAGGATCTCACTTTTGTTCTTGAATGCCCCACTGTGGTGGTCATACAAGGTGGTTAAGCGGAAATCCAGGTCATCCTTTGGTATCTACAGGGGAAGTCAGTTCCCCCAGGGTTAACTTGGTCACCTGTGCCTCCATTTTAGCCAAGTTCTATTGTGTTCGTGACTATTCCCCAGAAATATAATGTTGGGCCTGAAATCTACCAACTCCTTATGACACTAAATTGTCGTGCATGATGACTTCCTAATTTGTCAATATGAAATTGTCTCCCTTGGGCTGGGGCTGTAGCTCAGTGGCAGAATGCTTGCCTAGCACATATGAGGCACTGGGTTCAATCCTCAGCCCTACCTAAAAATAAATAAAGGCATGTTGTCCATCTACATCTACAAAAAAAAGAAGAAGAAAAGAAATCGTCTCCCTTATGATTACTTTCAAGGAGTGGTGACATGGCAATATTGTCCTTGAATTTGGCTTAATAAACTTGACCTTATATTCAGTTCTTGTTTTAATAAAAATAATATAAGAAATCTGGTAAAAATGACTTGTTTCAGATAACTGCCTGGAGCAAAACCCAAGCCTTGTGACTTGATAAATTGGTTTTGGATTTGGTAAGATCTCAGACTGGGGCCAATAGGAAAGATGATGAAGCAGTCAGGTCAGGCTACCTGCATTATTAGTGGATATTCATGAGTCATAGGTGGACAGAAAGATAAGTAATATTTCAATGCTAAGTACCGTGGGATTAAAAAAATAGGCATCCCGCCTTATGGAGTTGATTGTGGGAGTTGAGCTGAGTCGACTCCAGGGTTCCAGTTGTTGATCAAGGTGAGTTTGGTTCCTGTGTGGCAATTTCTGCAAAAGAGAAAACACCCATGGCCTAGTTATAGAAAATCTTGTTGATATGGTAGCATCAGGGACATCTGCAAAAAGAAGAATGATGTGGGGTAAGACTCCTAGGTTTTCTTAGAACTGGAAGAAATGGGCCAGGAATACAGAGAAAGGAGTGAAATGGGATAGGGCTGGGTAAAGAGTAGGGAATAGGTAGGGAAAATGATGAGCTCAGGTTTTGGCGTCCTGAGTTTGAAGAAAAAGTGAGACTGCTAATTCATTTGGCAGGAAATCAGAAGTGTGCATCTTGGGAGGAGAGCTTAGAACAAAGTAATAAAGATCAGGGTTTGTCTGTATGCCTCAGTAGTTGAAGCCTGCAAGAAGTCTGACCAAAAGGGAGAGCCAGCTCTTGAGGATTGCATAGTATTATAGCTGGGAGTGGGGAAGGTGCCATGAGAAGCAATCTGGGGCAAAATCAGGAGTGCAACATTTAAGTAGGTGAGAAAAGCTTTCAGTAAGCAAGGATGTGTCATTCATTGTGTTAGGTTTGGATCTAGGTATGTCCCTCAAAAAGCTCATGCAGCAATGTTCAGAGTTGACAAGATTGGATTACGAGAGCTGTGACCTCATCAGTGGGTTAATCTGATGGATTAACAATTTGGATGGACTGCTGGGTGGTAACTGTAGGCAAGCTGGAGGAAGGAGTCTCTGGAGGCGCAGTTTGGCAATTATATCTTGTCCCTGGCTCCTTACTGTCCCTCTGCTGCTCTCTGGCTGCCATGAGCTGAGAAGTTTTCCCCCACCATACCCTTCTGCCATGATGTTCTGACTTACCTCAGGTCCAGAGCAATAGAGTTAGTCAACCATGGACTGAACCTCTGAAACCATGAGCCAAAATATAAATTTCCTCCCCTGAGTTGTTCTTGTCAGTTATTTTTTTGTCACAGTGATGGAAAGCTGAATAACACATATTGATTGAAGGCATGTCAGAAAAAAAACCCCGTTGAACAATAGTACTTTAAATAAGCCCCACAAGCATGAATGTGTAAATCACAAGTTGATTTCTTCATTACATATAAAATGCCATATTTTTCACCACTGTATATCCAGGATCTAGCACAGTGACCTAACAAATGGTATTCGAAAAATGATACTGGATGAATCAATGACTGAATTCCAGTGAGTATAACTACAGTGGATTAGAAACATTCAACTTATATCCAATGTTGTAACCTTTATTCCCCTCAATTCGGCAAAGAGTTGTTTGACTTAGCTCAGTTAGACCTTAATTGAACAGTAGTATTGAGCCCTGTCCTATCATTGACAGATGAAAACTGAAATGAAAAAAAACCCAGCAAATATAAAATATGCAAGAATAGGCTCAGATATCCCTTGCTGTACGTTTGGGCAGCTTTCCTCCCACTCTCTTTGAAGTCTGCATGAGGCTTGTCATCTCTATCAGCCTAAGAATGAGATTGCCTTTCACTGAGAAAGTTGAGTCTGTCAAGCACAAAGGCCACCTACGTATTCACTTTCCTTCCTTCACAGGGAAAGGGAGCCCATTTTACTCAAGAGTAGCCTCCCTGGACCCAGACCTTCCCTGTGTGTGTGCTTCAGAGACCTGTACCACTTGCATCTTCCCCCGCCCCCCACCCTGTACAGGGATTGAACCCAGGGACACTTAACGACTAAAACCCAGCTAGTTTTATTTTTTATTTTGAGACAGAGTCTTGCTAAGTTGTTCAGGATCTCACGCTACATTGCTGAGGCTGGTTTTGAACTTGTGATTCTCCTGTCTCAGCCTCCTAGCTGTTCGGATTACAGTTGTATGCCACTGCACTTGGCCCCTTCTCTTCCATCTTGCCTCCCATTCCTTTATCATGCTCCAGCTACCATATCATGCTCCATCTTCTCTACAGAGCCAGACTTCTTCAAGAAGATGACTACCTTCACTTCCTCCCCATTCCCATCCCCTCTGCTGTCCCATGCAGTCTGGCTTCTGCCTCCAGCACCCACTGAAACTGCTCTTGGTGATCAAGGATCTTTGTGGCTAGATCAGGAGAATCCTTCCTCATTTTAATTGATTACTGTGGTTTCTGGCACGACAACTCTGAATTTTCTCAAATGTTCTCTCCATCCTGTGAGTTCAGCTCCTCTTGGTTTGCTTATGGCTTCTATGTCTCAGTTTCCCTCTCTCTGGCCTAGACACAGTGGTATTCTCCAAGGTCTAGTGTCTGCTTTTCTTTTTCTCACATTCACTGGATGAGTTGATTCTCTCCCATGGTTTCAACTACCATATAGATACTGTGTCTCCCAATTACATCTTCAGTCCAGAACTCTCAATCCTGTTGCCTACAACTAATCTCAACAAAAATGTTCCATAGGCACCAGAAAAACAACATCTATACAATTGCCTCAATCTTTCTCTCCAAACCTGTTTCCTTAGGACACCTCATTTCAGTGAATGGTAACAAACTATCAGAACCTAGGAGTTATCTTAGATTGGCCTCCTTTCCTTGGACCCATATCCAGTCAGCCACCAAGCCCTATCCATCGTATCCTTTACATCTTCCTCAAATCTGCACCTTATGGCCACCCCCTACATCACTGCTACAGTGATGTAGGTCCACTGTTTTTCCTCATGGAAGTCGCTGACCCTGCTTTCTAGCTGATCCCTCTTGTCTCAGTCCAGTTCTACCCAATCCACTGTCACATGTGTTTTCTAAAACACCATCTGATTGTATCACTCCAGTGCTTTAAAATCCCCCCGTGACTCCCACACATCGAGGATGAAATCCCAATCAATTAGCATTGTGTTCACAGTACTCAAACCACCAAGGTCACTTCCCCAGCACTGATCACTCGATGCTTCCATTTCACACGGGTACTTCAGCTCTTACAGACTATGATGTTCCCTAAACAGGCCAACCTCTCTCTCCTTTCCATATATACATCTGATACTTTCTTTTCCTTGAATGCCCGATTCTTGTTTCTTTCCTTCTGATTAACATTCTGTCTACTCCTTCACCAGCCCAACTAACTCATAATTGGATGTCAAAATTCACCTGCTCTGGAAAGTGTTCTTTCAAGTTACTGGTTGTCTGGGTACCTTACATATAACTCTGTCACAATACATGTGTCATTGTGCAAGCATTTTTGCTGTTGCTGATCTCTTTTCTTCTAGAGTTTCTTGAGAGCAAAAGCTCTATCTAGTTTATCTATATGCACTAAGTATTTATCAGAGTACCTTACACATCTGGTATTTAATAAATGTTGGATAAGAGGAAGTTCTTTGATATTGTCATTAAGCCTAAGTTACCATTTAATTACCTTTTCACCTCTTCAAATAGCCCAAACACTTCTCCCAGAAAAGATCCTCTAAATTCCCAGATCTCTGACCACATCATGCTACACACATGTACACACAGACATATTCTGGCATTAACCAGAAGACAGAGACTGTGAAGACAGAAGTAGGAAGCACAACCTGGTGTCTTTCAGAGAACTCTCTCCTACTTCCTATATCATTTCTCCTTAGAGAACAGCTTTCCAAACAAGGGAAGAGGGTAGCTTGGTGGAACCTGAGCCCCAATTATTTGTACTAATCCCTACTTTGAGCTGCAATAACTCCTTGTTCCTCTAGACTAGAACCGTCCTTCCCTCTGCTCAATGGCACTTTCAAAATGTCAGCCAACCTGAACGTGGGGACCAGGAGACAAGGCCAGAACCGCTTTCTCTGGTACCGAACTCAGTGGCCTCACCAGAGTTCTTCATGTTACCATCTCTGCCCCTCACATCAACAGACTTTCGGCAACCCTACTGGGAGTTGGCGCAAGAAACTTTGGAAGCCTTTGCATACGCATTGTACCTTAGAAGCCGGCAGTTTTCCCAAGCGGGAGTCGTCGTTATCTAATGTACGTTGTTGGAAAGAGTCCCGGGTGGGAGGCATGCTTAAAAGTTGAGTGAGAAGCTCTTATTAGGATGGGAACCGGAGCAAATGCAGTACAGTCTTGCTCGCGGAGGATCCCAGGTCCCAATTGTTTGGAACGCCCAGTTTCGGTTGCCCGGCAACTGCTCCTCCAACTATGACTGAGATGAATTCCTTCGAGAGAGGCGCCACCTGGCGGCTGAACTTGGGAGGCCCTTAGAGGGGAAGCTGCTGGGAATGCCTAGGAAAGGGGCCGTCGCCGAGCTGCCTGGAAGCCCTATCCTAGATCTGCCCTCCTGAGCCTCAGTTGAGGAACGCCGGTATCTCTCCGTACAGGACTTCTGCAAAAGATGTCAGTTGCGGAAAGAAGCCCTAAAAGATGACCCAGAAGTTTCCTTCTCCCTCTCACTTAATAAATGGCTTCTTATTTTCAAAACAGCGAGACAATTAGTGATGTCAAGGGACCCAAGAGCCCACGTGTGGTGCTTGGAAAATTGCCGGCTAAGGCAAACTCCTTGCTTGTACTCGGTCTAACTGTGCAAACCTCAGGGTTGCTCAAAGAGTCGATTGTAAATACAAGGACGGGTGGATGAAAGATCCCCAGAAGTGGTTTTTGCAGTAGGTCATAGGTATTGGGGCCAGTCTTTTGGGAGATGCCTTTTGGAAGGTAGAGATGGCGTCTCAACCTTCTATGGTTTCACATGCCACGTTTGCAAGACTAAAGTTACTCAGAAATAGCCCCTGTCCGGGAAGGGCTGTAGAAAACGGGAATCGTTGGCGGTGGCTTGGAGGATGTTTTCTATCGCGTGGTTTACGCGAGCCCTGCGCCCGCCTGTTGGGCCGGTGGCGTGCCCGCGCGTGTGCATTCTCACCCCGCTCGTGCCAGCGGCGGCGGTTGTCATGGAGATCGGCAGGTGAGCGGCAGAGGCGCGCGTGGTCCCTGCCCCACCCGCGCTGAGCGAGAGAGGATGCGGTTGTCAAGGCGACGTGGATAGGAGGAGAGGACGGAGGGAGGAGGAAGGATGGGCGGCCTTCGCGTAGCCGCAGGGAGGTGACTGAAGCGAGCCCAGCCCCTTGCATCCTCCCCCTGTCTACCTCCCTCCCCTTTTCTTTCCGCCTTCTGCCAGCTGAAGCAGCCGCCGCAGCACCTGAGCCGCTACTGCCGCTCGCTCAGGACAACGCTATGGCTGAGCCCGGTCACAGCCACCATCCCTCTGCCAGAGGCAGAGGAAGAACTGAGAGGCGCACATTCCGGCTTCTGTGGCTGCTGCTCTGGGCTGGGACCGCCTTCCAGGTGACCCAGGGAACCGGACAGGAGCTTCACGCCTGCAAAGAGGTACTGTCCACCTCTCAACCCGATCCCACTTTTGCTTAGAAAGATCCTGGATCCAGGCAGAGACCTTGGGGACCCAGGCACAGTTTCAGTAGACCACAGAGTTTAGATTTCTTTGGGGATGAGGCATGGGGGAGGGAAGAGCAGCAGGCTGGCATCATGGGGAGGCCAGCCCACTGGAGGACTCACGAAAATAGATCACCCTCACACAGCTTGGGGTGCTGAGATCAACGAGAAAGGGCCCAGCTCCAAGAAGTGGAGTGACCAGGGTCCCTGGACTCAGAATGAGTGAGCAAGAAAACATGAATTGTTTTCCAGATGGGGTGAAGTTGCCTGTAAAGTGGTCGAAAACAAAAGATTATGTACATTGAGGCAAAATAGAAAGAGGAAAGGCAGCTAGTGGAATAAGAAAGGAATTAGAGAGGGGTGTGGGGGGAAAGTAGTGGACTGAAGTAGTAATTTTGTGGTTTAATCATACTTTGAAAGGTGGATGTGAAGGTGAGAGATGTTTGAGAGGGACCGTGGGCTCCCACCAACTCTCTGGTGTCATATTAAACACCCAGCTACTTTTTGGGCTGTTAAATGTATCGTCTTTACAGCCTTGCCGACCCCCAGCATACTTTGTTTAGTGTTTAGGACATTCCACCTTTATCCATATTTTAAGTTTTTGTATATCAAGTTTCTGCCAATCTCTACTCTCCTTCTCTGGACATCTGCTAACATATGTCATAAGTCTTTTTCAAGGTATTTTTCAAGTGTTGGCATATTTCAGACAATAGGCAATGAATGAATGTCTTCCAACCAAAAATGACTTCTGAAAATCCTTTGTGGAGAGAAACAAAAAGGCATTAGGAGTAATAATATTCAGTAATTTCTATATTATTGAAATAATAATTTCTATATAATTGAAAGAGCTCTGGGTAGGCTCTTTTTAAAAAAACCATATGGTAGAGGCAATGATAAAATATTTACAAGAACAATGTTGGGGAAGGCAAAATAAAAGTTCTGTTATCTCTGTGAAATGTGAAAGACTTCAAAATACATCAGAGTCCAGCCCTGTAAAAATAATCCCAAATGTAAGTCTTAACTAAGATTTTAAGAGGTTAAAAAATATTCTTTATATTTGTTGGTGTTAACTGATTATCAATAACAGTTCCATCCAGTATGGAGATATATATCTGTATATATGTCTTTCTCTCTCTCTCTCTCTCTCTCTCTCTCTCTCTCTCTATATATATATATATATATATATATATATATATATCAGTTTATATAATTATGAAGGTGTTCTGAGCACTAAATTGTCTACCACATAGAAAATCATGAGGAAATGAAAGGGATTTTTGCGTGAATAAAGATATTTGGCTTCAAAGACTCATAAATATGTCAAACATGACCCCAGTCAGTGGGATTTTTGACAACTTTCATTAGTCCCTATAACGACTTGCCCCAAGCCATCTACTTTTCTACCACATCACTTTATGACATGTTGTAAAGATGTTTGGGAAGAGGATAATACTGTTAGCTCTCTGGCCTTTCTAGCCTATGGTCTAACCAACTAAAATAGAGTCCAAACAAGCTCACTTGCCTAAGAATAAAACACTATCATTTCCTTTTGTGGAAAATTACCAATTCTTATTGAGATCTTGCTTAACTATGGAGAATATGAAATATTGAAGACATTAAACACTTTGTGTCATCTTGGTTTGGAGGGAAGGAAAAATATAGATATTTAAGAACTCTAATTTGTGTGCAGATTTTGCCTTTAGTCCTGTTTAAATAACCAGTATTTGCTTAAGCAAATGGTACTACCACAAAGAGTGAGATTAAGGCAGTATAAAGGTGTGGAGTTCAACATGCCAGGAGTCCAGTCCTGTTACTTGCCATACCATTTTTGGTTCTGTAGAATGGGCATTACAGTAAGACCTGCCTTAGATTGATTTGAGGATCAAAGGGAAAAAGTAACATCTAAAACACAAAATAGTTACTTAACCCTTTTCCCTGCTCAGCTTCTTGGCTAGGAGAGATCCATACCTCATGCCAGGCTGGAAATTTCTTAGGAGCAAGCTCATTGGCCACAGGCATCAACAAGTTCTATTTACACTCTCCTTGAGCAAACAGTGGCTGCTGAGCACCCTCCATGCCAAAATAATAAGGAAGAAAATAAACCCATTATTACAGTATTCTTCATTTGGCAATATGAACTGATCCAACAAGTTTGGGGGCTTCCAACCCCCAAATGGGGAAAAACTAGTCCAATGTAGACTAGCCCATCTCTGTTCTTAATCTTCATATAAATTTCTTGTGAGCTTGTGTTGGGTGTTAATGGCAGGGACTCTTTTCAGGCCAAGGCTAACCCTAATGACAATAATGCTATATATAGTCCATCTTCGAAACACCTCTCTGGATCTAATCAGGAAAAAGAGAGGTTTAGCTTGAGGCCTAAACTGAGGTGGCAAAGAACTGGGAATTGTACCCTGCTGGACGTGTGCTGGAGCTTGGCGTTCTTTTCACAGTTTTACAATAATCAGGGTCACCAGTGGAACTAAACATCCTGTATGATGTTTGTCTTCATGAATCATTTCTTTAACCTGTGCTAGCTCAGGCGAAGTGCTAAGAGCCAAAGGTCTGTTTTCCATATTACAATGGATCTAAATCAAATGAGAGAGGAATAGAAAACTGCCTTTAACATGATCTCCCTTGTCCTGAGGTTGAGTGCTAATTGCCCCCAAAGGGACTTCCCAATCTATATTGAAAAGCTCTTGGGGTTGAGCAATCTGGAAGACATGGATTGGAATAAATTTTTTTGAGTGAGTGATGATTCTGCCCTTTACTAACAATGCAAGTCAATTAACTTTTGACTGTCTTGGATTCCTGATCTGTAAAAGAAGGATGGTGATACCTATCTCACAGGGATGTTGTAAGGATTAAATTAAATTGGAGGACACATGTAAAGAGTTTACTGCATACCTTGACATATCACAGGTGCTCAAGGAATATTGGTAGACAGAAAAGTTAAGCACACAAATAATGACCCATAAATGATGACATAAGTTTAATGTGTGGTCACAATGCAGGGTGGTAGGAGAGAGGCGGATAGGAAAAGAAATAAGAGTTGGGCCCGGCGCCTTTGCACACTCCTATAATACCAGCAACTTGGAAGGCTGAGACAGGAAGATGGCGAGTTCAAAGCCAGCCTCAGCAATTTAGCAAGACCCTAAGCAACTCAGTGCTCAGTGAGACCCTGTGTCTAAATAAAATATTAAAAAGGGCTGGGGGTGTGGTTCAGTGGTTAAGACAAAAAAAGATAAAAAAAAAAAGAAAAGAAAAAGAGAACAATTAGTACCTTGACCTGCCTCTGTGATAATCAGTAGCATTTCAATGGGAAGAGATGGAGAAAGTGTGCTTTCTAACTAGAGGGAGGAGCCTGAGGAATGGTCCACTGGTGAACAGGCAGTTGATGCTGGGGATTGCAAGTAGACCGATGGGCTGAAATGTGGAATAACGTGGGGAACAATACAAGATGATAAAGTTGGAAAGTGAGAAACTAAGGGGAGAATCCCTGGAGGATTTCTGGCTGAGATAGCAGCCTGCTCAGAGTGAATTTTCATGAATAGAAAATAAATGTGGATGAGGTAGGTTGAAAGGTGAGAGCAGAGATGGGGTAAAGAGGCCAGTTCAGATTTTACTGAGGTCCAGGATGAGGTTAATAAAGGTACTGCACTGGGATGGTGATAGTGGGAAAAATGGAAATGTGTAGATAGGACAAAGGGGCTGATGGGAGGTTAGAAGATGCAACTGATTAGCTGAGGCATAGAGTGCTGGTGAGGGGCAAGTTGAGGATTTTTGTCAGGATTTTAGAGTGAGCAGTTAGTAGGAGTTCCTAGCCCAGATGCAGAAAGAACAGCATTAGAGAGCAAAGTGATCCCTTTTTTTTTCCTTCCAGCCTCCCTGGGATCAGCCCCTGTCGCAGGTGGTGAAATCCTGAGTCT